CCCGAAAGCAGCGGAAAAACCTTCAAGGCCCCTTCCCTCAGGACACGCTTCCCCCATGGCGAGAGGCAACGGCACGAGCAAAGCAGCATCGCCACATCCGTGCCTCCTCCCCGGACCCCCGACGTCAGGACTACTTCGCAGCGTCGACCCCCAAAGGTCTGAACCCCTTCCCCGGGACGGGTTCCTCACCCCGAGTCGCAATCTACGGCCCCGAGGCCTGGCAAGGGCGCCCAGAGGCAAAAAATGGCTAAAAACCTACCGTCGTCACTGTTCCCTTAGATCCGCCGTTGCAGAACAAATTGCAACGTCGCAGAAAATCACGACCAGAGCCCGGGACCCCACCTTCCTGCGTAATGTTTCGAGCTGGATCGAGCTGTGAGGGTCCCTGCAGGCCCGGAATTGAGCGAGAACGCCCGTTGTGAAAAAGTTGCAAAGCCAGGCTCCCAGCGTTCTTCCAGCCATCGGCTGCAGGCAAGGGTGACCCTGGGTAAGAGTGATCTTTGGTGCGCGGTTTTTGGGGGCCGCCTGGGGGCCAAACATAATAGCGCGAGACGCCACTGCCGCCTCGCCTTCGGCGATCTGGGGGCCCCAGTCGGCCCGCACCTAAGGTCACTCCAGCGAAAGGTCACTCTTACGTCTCACGCCGCCTCCCCTCCGCGGGGGCACCTCTTCACGGCCCCCGCCGGCGGACGGCGCAGCTCCGCGCGGAAGGCCGCGCCCTAGAGGCCGCGACAGGCCGCGGGCGCGCCGCGGCTTCCTGGCGCCACGCCGCATAGGGCGCACGCCCCGCTCGCGGCTTCGCCGGCGGGGGCGCTTGCCCGCAAGGTGAGATCGGCCCTCCCCTCCCTGGACTATAGAAGGCTCCTGGATCCCCAGACCCCCTCGCGTCCTGAAGAAATCGCGACGGGAGGCTTCTCCTGTTTTCGGCCCCCCTGGGGGCCCTTGCTGGGCCTCGGGACCGTCAGAAAACGACTCGGGACGAGGAACAGATCCTGGGGAAATGGTCCGGACCTCTGGGGGTCGCGCCGTGACAAAAATCATGAGGTCGGGGGACTGGGCTGATGGGGTCCGGGTAGATGGGGTCGGAGGATCGTGCCGCATGGCCAATGCATCGGCGATGCATCGCCGACGTCGGCGACGCATCGGCGACGTCGGCGTGGAGAAAATCGGTCTCCGCATGCAGCAGCACGATCGTCGTGGAGAAAATCGGCGAGCCGCATCGCACGATGCAGCTCGATCCTCCAACCCAATTTACCCCGACCCCATCTAGGAGGCCTAGACTAACTCGGCGGCGAGCGAGGGGAGAAGTGAGAAGGAGAAGGCCCTCTCAGAAGGCGGCTGGGCGTCTCAGAAGGCCTCGCGCCTTCTGAGAGGTTGTCTGCGTCTTCGGGGAAGGCTTCGAAAACTTCGCAGAATGCTGGGGGACTTCTGAGCCTTCTGAGAAGCCCCGCCCCTTCTCACTTCCCCCCGGGGCTCGCCGCCAGTTCACGAGAAGGGGACCCAGACGTGCGCGCATCGTGAAAATGGGACGCAGCAGGGCATGCTAGTACCACGTGTCCTCCTCGGAGGCGTGCGTCCGACCCGAATATTTCGTACATCAGTATTGCGGCACGTCGTGTCCAGAGCGGCACGGCCGGAGAGCGCCCGCCACTGGGTACTATAAGACCCCTCGGCGCGCGCGTCTCCCTTTTCCGGGGCGACGAAAAGATAGTACACTGGCCAGCCGCTCTGCGGTTGATCGGGAGTTTCTTCAATTATATTCAAGGGGCCCTGGGACACACAAATAAATACACACAAATAAAAAGATTCCCCATATTTTCCTATATTTTCTGGGTTTCTGTCTCCCCCCCCACTTCCCATATTTTCCTATATTTTCTGGGGAATCGACGATTAATTGTGTCTGTGTGTTTTTTTCCCTCCTGATATATAGAAGACGGGGCGTGTGCTTGTAGGCGAGAGGAGAATGAGCGGGAGGCGGTGGTGCCGCGGGCGAGGATGAGGGTGATTGATCAGGAGGGCGAGGCTCGCAAGGACGAGGATCAAGAGAGTGAGGGTCACGCAGGTGAGGATCGGGCGAGCGTGGAGCAGGAGGGTGAGGATATGGATAATGAGGGTCAGGAGAGCGAGGATGGCAAGAAAAGATCAGCAGGGTGAGGGTCGGACAGGTGTGGAGCAGAAGAGGGAAGATCAACAGAGGAGAGCGAGGACCGGCAGAATGAAGATCACGAGAAGAGCAAGGATCAGGTGAATGGGAACGCGGAGGGCGAGGAGCAGGAGCGTGAGGCAGGAGGGCGAGGATGATGAGAGCCAGAATCGTGAGAGTGACGAATATGAGGATGAGGATCTGAGGGGTGAGGGCCAGGAGGGTGATGCTCAGGAGCGTGATGTTCAGGAGCGCGGGGAGGAGAGCAGTGAGGGCCAGGAGGGCGGGGATAACGACGACGGAACAGAAGGCGGAGCAGATGGCAGGGGAAACGACGACGACAAGGGCGACGGTGACGACGAGGAGGGCGACGACGACGACGACGACGACGACGACGACAACGGCGACGACGACGACGACGACGACGGCGACGGCGACGACGACGACGAGGGCGACGACGACGACGACGACGACGACGACGACGAGGGCGACGACGACGACGACGACGACGATGGCGAGGACTATGGTGCGCCCCAGCGCGCGCCGGCAGATCCCTGGAAATGGTCCCTGGGGGCGCGGCAGGGCCTGACTTCTCACGCGCCAGGGGCCCGCTCTGGGAGAATGTCTCGAGCGCGGACCGTCGGCGCCCGCGAGGTGGCCAGGGAGGACACATGCGAGCGTCCGCCGTCGTGCCCAGGGGCGGGGCTGGAAGAGGCCGGCCCGGCGGCGCCGCCCAAGACCGCGCTGGTCTGCTCCGACCCCGTCCTCGGCCGCACCACGGCCGCGGGTCTTGGCGCGCCTGGGGGCCCCCGCCTGGCGCGCTCCGCAGGCGGTGGGCCGTGGCGACGGCGCCGAGCGTGGGCGGCGCCGCCGTCGGCGCAGGGCGAGGGGCCGCTTTCGGGGTCGGCCCGCGAGCGCCTCGACAGGGCCCCCAAGATGAAGATGAGAGGTCGCCTGGCGCGCATCGCCAAGACGCCGCGGGCGGCGGGCGCGCGGCCGCAGGCGACGCACGGCCATCAGGCCGCAGGCTTCGCGCCGCCGTCGCTGCTCGCCCTGCGCCGAGGCGCCGAGGGGCGGCTGCCGTCGGCAAGGGGCGGAGCCGGTGTCTGGCTGCAGCGCTGGGCGACCTCCACGGGCAGCGAGGCCCAGGGCTGGAGCTCCGCCGTCGTGTTTGGTCGGCCAGCGGCTGGAGCTGTGGCGCGCGCGCGGCCCGAAGTGCCTGGCCGAGCCCAGGTCGCCTGGCCACGCACCGTTGCGGAGCTGGCCCGCGCTGGCGCGCCACGCTGGCGGCGCGCTCGCGCGCGGGCCCGCGGCCGCCGTCGTCGCGCTCGTGCTGGACGCGGACTGGCAGTCGCCGTCGCCTCTGCGGTGGGTTCGGCCGACGGGCGCCGACTCGGTCGACGAGTGCGGTCGGACCTAGGACAGAAGAACAGCCTTCAAGAACACAAGACCCTCCGCCGGCCAAAACAACCTAAACCATCAGATCACTTGAGGGCCCCCCCCAGGATGCACGAGGACACCCAGCGGGCGCAAAAAACACCGAGGTGCCCTCCCCGAACCGACCGCGATCTTCTGCCTCGGTCCGACCGCGGTGACACCCTGGCCAGCTGGACCCCGCCTTCGCTGTCGCCGGCACGCCCGAGCTCTGGGAGGCCACATCGGCGACCTCCGACGGCGGGTGCGGCAGCGCGCGGCGCTGCACGCGGACGGTGACAGCGCGAGCTCGAGAGGTTTCTGGTGCGCGGCGCTCTCGACCGGTGGCCCATGGATTAGGTCGGGCATGTCCCCCTGCAGGCGGACCTTGGCAGAAAAATTGAGCTCAGCCAGAACAGATGCAGACATGCTCAGAGATGGTCGAAGCATCGTCCGGATACCATTTTTCGACTATTGCTGACTGTTCCTCCTGTAGATCGGGGGCGGCCAAGAAGGGGGCGTCCGAGAAGGGGGGGGCGCAAATCATGGCCCGCGGCATGTGCGCGGCCAGGGGGGGGGGGTAGGGGACGCATTGCAACAAGAGGAGGCGCCAGGACGTCTGGGGAGATATCATGGCCCCCGCCATGACATCTCCCCACCCCCCCTCCTGGGTCATCCCCCCCCCCCTCTACGCCACCGAGTGGAGGGGCGCGCCCGACTTCACCCCCGGACGTCGCGGCGGCGCGCGGGGCCCGCGCGGGGGCCAGGGGGCGGCGGGCCCGCGCCGAGCCACGCGGCCTCCGACCCCCCGCGCACCTGCGGCGCAAACACCCGAAGCGGGGGGGGGCCTTCCTCCACAGCGCACGGGCCCAGACATGATCGCGCCCTACAAAACGATCAAGGCGGCAAGGTTTTCGTTATTCGGCCTCTGGGGGCCCTCGCCGGGCCCCAAGACCGTCAATGGACGACTCGGGATGAACAACCAGCCCCAGGGAAAGGGTCGGGACTTCCTGGGACGCCGTACAGACAAAAATCAGGACGTCGCATGTCTGCGGAGCTGCCCGTGACAAGCGGGCCGTGCCGACGACGGGGCCACGGAACTCAAAATTTCCTGGCGTCGCAATGTTTTCCCAACGGGGCTTCTCGCTCCTCACGTCGGGCCTCGAGGCCCGTTACACATCGATCCGGCTCGAAAAATGGCGCAGGGAGATGGGGTCGCAAAAAAACGAAGGATTGCAAAAAAACCTAGGATTGCAAGAAAACCCTTCGTTTTTTTGCAATCCTTCGTTTTTTTGCAATCCTGGGCTCAGGTCGTGATTTTTTTACGATGTTCCAATTTTTTGGCAACGGCTGTGAGCAGGACCCTGCCGCGCGAGGCGCGCGCGCGTCGGAGGTGACGGCGCCGCGCTCCGACGGAACGCAGGGCCGATTTGCGCAGGCACCTCGGCTCCCCGTTCGACGATTTTGCAGGAGCGCGCCCGACGACGTGCTTGACATCTTCGCGACTGCTCTGGCGGACAGCGTTCCCAGACCCGCGACGTCACGATTTTCTCACGACGCGACCCCTAGAGGTCTGGACCTATGCGTCAGGACCGGCTCTTCGTCCTGAGTCGTTCTTTGACGGTCCCGAGGCACGGTGAGAGCCCCCAGAGGCCGAAAATCGCGAAAAACCTTCCGTCGTGATTTTTTCATGACTCGAAGAGGTCTGGGTTCGTCCGATTCACGCCGGCGGCGAGTTGAACCGGCCGCCGTCGACCTCCGCCGGGAGGAGTACGGGCAGTGGCTCCCCGTCGGCGGACTGTGCGAGGCGCCAGGCAGGCAGTGCCACGGGCGGAGACTCGCCCATTGCGCGCTCCGCCTCGAGACGGCCCTCCAGATGGCAAGCCTTTCGCTGAAACCTTGGGTTCATGGAGACTTGGAAAGTGTGCAGGCTCAATTACAGCGGCGATGTCTGTGTTCGGATGCGAGCGGCCCTCCGCCAGAGAGGGGGTCTTCTGCGGACGTAGAGGTCTCGTGGACGCCTGGCCATCTCGATGGCTTGCTGGAGCGAGTGGTGACTGAGGTCCTCGATTACGTTGCCGTAGGAAGCGTCTTCGCCGATGAATTGGCGGGGGTGGCTGTCGAGTGTGCTTAGAGCCGCGACTTGACCTGCGACGGGCCTCAGACCTTAGTGGGCCCCAAAGCTGCAGGGCCGTTTTTTTCACACCGTTTCCGAAAAAGTGTCTTTTTGAAAACCCAGACCTCCGACGTCATGATTCTTTCATGACGCGACCCTCAGAGGTCCTGGACCCACTCCCTGGGACCGGTTTTTCATCCCGAGTCTTTTTTTGACGGTCCCGAGGCCCGGTAAGGGCCCCTGGAGGCCGAAAATAGCAAAAAAGAGAAATCCCGTCGTGATTTTTCATGACTCCAGGGGGCCTGGGAATGGAAGCGACACCAAAAAAGGGCAACCAAAAACGGCAAAACACAGCTCTGGGATTGGAGCCGGAGCCGTAAGCGGCAAAAAAAAGGCGACGTAGCCGGCAAAAGAACGGCGCCGGGACCAGCAATAGAGACTGCAAGGCGGAACCGGTGACAAAAACGGCCCCGTCGCTTCCAGGACCCACTAAGCCTCAGACCAACTGAGTGGGATGCGTTTCCCGGAGGACACATTCCCCGGGACTGGTTTCTCGTACGGAGTCGTTGGCATCGCCGATACATCGCCGATGCATTGGCCATGCGGCACGATCCTCCTACCCCATCTACCCGGACCCCATCGACCCAGACCCCCGACGTCATGATTGGTTCATGGCGCGACCCCCAGAGGTCCAGACCATTTCCCCAGGATTTGTTTCTCGTCCGGAGTTGTTGTTTGATGGTCCCGAGGGCTGGTCAGGGCCCCCAGAGGCCAAGAACAGTCAGCGACAAACCTCCCGTCGGGATTTCTTAAGGCCTCAAGGGGGTCTGGCAGATAGGGCGCTGTATCGCGACGCTCGTGAAGCGTTGGGCCCCTCGGGCGCCCACACGCGCGACTTCCCGGGAGCCCTGGGATGCGGCCCGCGTCGGGCGCGTGCGTCCTCCTGGCCACACAGGAGGCTTCCAGCGCGCGCTTTGGAGCGCAGCCCGCAGGACCTGGACGCACATACAGTGGAGGCGGCCGGTCCACGAGAAGCCTTCCACAAGAAGCCCGACCCTGAGACCCCAGGACGTCCACTGGTTTCTGGCGTGGGAGCGTCGCGCCCTCCACAGAAGAGCCACGGACATTGGGCGGAAGAGGTGGGGTGGGGTGGGGGTGGGCCTGGCTCCGGACCTCTGCTTAGTGTTAGGTCGGGCATGTCCCCCTACAGGCAGATTTTGAACGAACAAATAGGAATGGTTACAATAAAATACCCTCAAATGGTCAATTACTCACTGCGCGGAGCTCCCCATATGTGCATCTCATGTTTTATGCCATGCCATAGTGAGCGTCTGTTCATGAGCGTCCTATTCCCTGGCGGCTCCCCTTAGGGGTGCTGAAACCAGAGCCCCGCCAGAGACATCTTCACAATCTGCTCTGAAAGCAAAGGATATTGGGCATGAAAACGAGCAAACCGCCTGAGACAGCCCCACAAACTGGCCGCGAACGGGCCCGTGAGAACACCCCTGGCGGCTACCCTTAGGGGTGCTGAAACCAGCGCCCCGCCTGAGATATCCTCACAATCTGCTTTGAAAGCAAAAGATGTTGGGCATGAAAACGAGCAAACCGCCTGAGACAGCCCCACAAACTGGCCGCGAACGGGCCCGTGAGAACACCCCTGGCGGCTACCCTTAGGGGTGCTGAAACCAGCGCCCCGCCTGAGATATCCTCACAATCTGCTTTGAAAGCAAAAAGATGTTGGGCATGAAAACGAACAAACCGCCTGAGACATCCCCACAAACTGGCCGCGAACGGGCCCGTGAGAACACCTATGGCGGCTCCCCTTAGGGGTGCTGAAACCAGCGCCCCGCCTGAGATACCCTCACAATCTGCTCTGAAAGCAAAGGATATTGGGCATGAAAACGAACAAATCGCCTGAAACATTCCCACAAACTGGCCGCGAACTGGCCCGTGAGAACACCTCTGGCGGCTCCCCTTAGGGTGCTGAAACCAGCGCCCCGCCTGAGACATCCTCAAAATCTGCCGTGTGTTGAGTAACTCAGATTATGAGAAGGTCTGAGTATGTGTAGGTCTGAGTATGAGTAAGTCTGTATATGAGTACGTCTGGGTATGAATAAATCGGAGTATGGGTAAGTCAGTGTATGAGTAAGTCTGTGTATGTGTACGTCTGGGTATGAGTAGGTCTGAGTATGAGTAGGTCTAAGTATGAGTAAATCGGAGTATGCGTAAGTCTGTGTATGAGTAAGTCTGGGTATGAGTAAGTCTGAGTATGAGTAAGTCTGGGTATGAGTAAGTCTGAGCATGAGTAAGTCTGTGCATGGGTAAGTCTGTGTTCTGGGTGTGTTCTTGTTCTCTGGAGTCGGCGGCGTCAAATAAATAACAAGAAGCCCATCTTGGGATATGGGGAAAATAATCAAAACATCGTCCTCGTACTATTTTGTTACTACTTCTGAATATTCCTCGTGTAGAGGGAACAGGCCCGACTTAATCCTAGTGCCACTGTTTGCAGCAGTGCGTCCTCTGGGGGAGCGTCCGCCTGCTCGAAACAGGAGCCCCCAAAACAGCCAAGATCTACTCCATGGGAGGGGGGGGTGCGAGGGCCCGCGCCGATCGGCAAAGCAACGAATACAAGCAACGGTCACCAGGGCACCCGGGAGGCAAGCAAGGTGTTTGTCTCTTGGCATGGGCCGCCACTGCAGGTCCCGGGGCGCTGGCCTTGCCCCGCCTGCCGTTTACCAAACGGCTCCAAACGCTAATCCAGCAAAGCGCAGTAAGGGTTAGCTAATGAGTTAGGGAACTCGCGGCAACTCTCCGCTATCCCAACCCAACCTTTGGAACCCCTTGCAAATCTTACTAACCCCGCGACCCTTCCAAGCAGGTCCTCGACGCTGCGGCACCGCCGAGCCCCGCCTCTCCTGCTCCACCCGGGGGGGCCCTCGGCGATCCAGGGGACCTGTGTAGGATAGGGCGCTCGGGCCGTGGGCCGCTCGCACTGCGTGCGTGCGTTTCCTTCGCTTTCGCGGTTCGCTCTTCTGCTCCGCCGCTTGTGGCATGACCGCCAGAGCGGGCCCGGGGCGCCTCCTGAAGCCGTGCAGCGGCACAGAGACGCGCAGTGGGGAACGAGACTCTCGCGCGAGTTTGCAAGGGCCTCTTCCCCAGCCGCCGTGGGGCCCCGAAGGCCGCCTTGGCGGCTCAGCGGGTCCTCGCAGGTGGGGGCTTCGGAACCCTCGGGGTCGGCTGCGGAAGCCCAGTCCCGGCAGGGTAGGTCGGGACACAGTGCCCGCAGCTCCTGCTCCTGCTCCCTGCCTTCCTCCTGGCCGTGACCCCCCTTCCTCCCGCCCCCCCCCGTCGCTTTACCTTGCCTTCCCCCCTCCCCTTCTCCCCCCCTCCCCTGACATCCAGGCAGAGCGCCCCGAGAGAAACGTGTCCTGGACCCCGGCGGGGCTGGCCCCAAATGGGCCCGCTCTTCACTCTGAACCGTTTCTTAATGGCCCTGGGGCCCGGGGAGGGCACCGGGAAAAAGGCTTCGGGCTGCGCACAGACAGCCCCCCCAGGCAGTCCGGGCTGGCCTCAGCAGGTTCTCCGCGGGTAGTCTTCTCGCTGGCTTCCACGGGCCCCCCAGAATATTTCCAGCTGGCCTCAACAGCACCCTGGAGTAGCACGAGGCGGTCTCAACATGGACGGTTTCCCCCGGGGCCGTAGGCGACCCGAGGAGGGGAGGGCGAAGAGGGGGAGGGAGGAGGATGAGGAGGAGGAGGAGGAAGAGGAGGAGGAGGAGGAGGAGGAGGAGAGGAGGAGGAGGAGGAGGAGGAGGAGGAAGAGGAGGAGGAGGAGGAGGACGGGTCGCCTAAGCCCTTCGGAGACACCTTCCATCTCAACATCTCAATATTACCTGGGGCGCGGAGCGCCCCGAGGGCGCCGCCGGAGGCGGCGGCAAGGTGTGCAGACCAGGTGACCTCCACGGGCCCTTCGGGGGGCCTGCTGGGGTCGGGTCGGGCGAAAGGGGGGGATAGCAAAGGGGGGGTGAGAATCAGCTCACGTAGCTGATTTTCCCGGCGCCTCCCGGCGCCGGGAGGCGGCTATGTATCGAGGAATGAGCCCCTCGGTGAGGCCGAAACCAGCTGCATGCAGCAAATTTCGTAACCCCCCCTTTCCCAATCCCCCCCTTTCGCCCGGTCCGAACTTCGGGGGGCCTGCGGGGGCCTGCTGGGACTGCTCTCGGCGGGCCGGCCGGCCGAGGCCAGCCAGGGCTACATCCACGGTGGGCCTGTGTGCGCGCAGCCCGAAGCCTTCGCTACGGATGCCGCGAGAAGAGCCTCGGGACCCGCTCCGGCCGCCCCGCTGCCCTCAAGACCCCGTGCCGTGTCCGGGGGCCGTTTTTGCTTGTATCTCTGCGCGGGGGGAGGGGGGGGGGAGGAGCGGTGACTACCTACCAGACCACCCCAACCCAACCCGAAGACCCGAATTTGACCCGAATTTCGGGTTGGGGGGGGGTACGGATACCATGTCTTTTTTCCCAACCATCCTGTGGTGTTGGGTCCTCGTTTTGAAGAGACGGTGTCCCGCGTCTCCTTCCTCTCCTCCTCCGCCTCCTCTCCCCTCCTATCATCCTCATCGTCATCATCATCATCATCATCATCATCATCGTCATCATCATCATTACCATCATCATTATCATCATCATCGTCATCAGCATCAACATCATGGCCGCCATCAGAACCATCATCGTCATCATCACCATCATCGTCGTCATCACCATCATCGTTGTCCTCGTCGCCATCATCGCACGTTTCGTGGCCCCATACGGAGCTCCACCGAAGGTCCCAGTGGGTGTGCCCGCATGCGTCCCGCACACCCACTTTGGCACACCCCTCACACGCTTCGTGGCCCCATAGGGAGCTCCACCTAAGGTCCAAGTGGCGCAGCTCGCATGGCGCCACCGCCCCATTTTGGCACACCCCTCACACGTTTCGTGGCCCCATAGGGAGCTCCACCGGTCCAAGTGGCGCAGCTCGCATGGCGCCACCGCCCCATTTTGGCACACCCCTCACACGTTTCGTGGCCCCATAGGGAGCTCCATCTACGGTCCAAGTGGCGCAGCTCGCATGGCGCCACCGCCCCATTTTGGCACACCCCTCACACGTTTCGTGGCCCCATAGGGAGTTCCATCTACGGTCCAAGTGGCGCAGCTCGCATGGCGCCACCGCCCCATTTTGCACACCCCTCACACGTTTCGTGGCCCCATAGGGAGCTCCATCTACGGTCCAAGTGGCGCAGCTCGCATGGCGCCACCGCCCCATTTTGGCACACCCCTCACAGATTTCGTGGCCCCTCAGGGAGCTCCTTTTGGCACACCCCTCACACGTTTCGTGGCCCCATAGGGAGCTCCACCTAAGGTCCACGTGGCGCAGCTCGCATGGCGCCACCGCCCCTTTTTGGCACACCCCTCACACGTTTCGTGGCCCCATAGGGAGCTCCATTTACGGTCCAAGTGGCGCAGCTCGCATGGCGCCACCGCCCCATTTTGGCACACCCCTCACAGATTTCGTGGCCCCTCAGGGAGCTCCATCTACGGTCCAAGTGGCGCAGCTCGCATGGCGCCACCGCCCCATTTTGGCACACCCCTCACACGTTTCGTGGCCCCGCAGGGAGCTGCACCTAAGGTCCCAGTGGTGCAGCTCGCATGGCACCCCTTCACACGTTTCGTGGCCCCACAGGGAGCTCAGGTGTGATCCTGGACTGCGGCCGCCACGAGGTCGGGAACGGCAAGAAGGAGGACGACGACTGGTGGCTGGAGCTCTATGTGCTGCTTCTCGCGCGCCACGCGCCACGAGGACCTCCTGCTCATGCGGGCGCCGCGCATCGAGTTCTTCCTGGCAGGACCGCCGGAGGGCCTGCGAAAGCAGCTGGAGCAGTTTGCAGCGCGCACGAAGCGGTGCAGGAGGGAGGCGACGGCCCTCGCCAGGGAGCTCGGCTTCACCGAGTTTATCCGCGAGGCCTGACCTGAGGAGCGCCCCCCCCGAGCCGCGCCTTCTCTCGACTGCCCGCATAATTGTTCGGCCTCGCGCCGCGGACGACCCGCGCGCGTCGCTGGGACCCTCTCGGGGCGACCAGCGCGCGTCGCGGGGATTCCGCGCGGCGCTCTGCTCAGCGCCTCGCTCGCCCGTCGTCGCTCTGCCCAGCGGCCGGAGCCTTGCCCGCAATCAGCCGGCCGGCTAGCTCTCTGTGCTCCGCGCAGCGGACGACCTGCGCGCGTCGCTGGGACCCCTCCGCGGCGACCTGCGCGCGTCGCGGGGACTCCGCGCTGCTCTGCGCCCGCAGCTTTGGATTTTTGGAGCGCGCAGGCAAAGAGGGGGGAAAGGAAGGGACGGAAGCGGGTGCGATCCCCGTGAGGGGCGTGCCGACATGGGCGTCGCGGCGCGCGGGCGCTGCCGTCGGGGTTCCCGCGGAAGCTGCCTGCGGCGGCCACGCCCAGTGTCACAAGTGTTCGGACAGGCATGCTCGAGCCATTCACATTCATATAAATTTACACTAGGCGTAGCCAAGATCGCACCCATGCAAATATACTCACTCCCACGCAGACCCATTCACACTCAGACTCTCTCGCGCTCTGGCTCACCCGCGTTCATTCTTTCGCAATCTGACCTATCGTATTCCTTTGCGTTGTGTACCCCGCCATATTTCGGCATGCCCCTCATGCGGTTCGTGGCCCCGTATGGAGCGCCACCGAAGAAGGTACTCACAATTGCGGCACTCACAACTGCATATGGTTGGGTCTTTCGCCAGGATAATTCAACGTTCCCGGACCCCCCCCCCATTGGAAATGGAAGGCAAATTGAGGGCTTCGGGTTGGGTTGGGGTGGTTTGGTGGGTGGTGAAGCGGGGGGCACGGCGAGGGGCATGTTCACTTGCACGGGGGGGGAGGAGGGGGGGCACGGCGAGGCCGCAAGCAGATCTGGACTTCACGTCGGGGCGTCATTACTTGCATGCCTCTTCGGCCCATCGCAGGGGGGGGGGGAATAGGGAATACCACGCAAACAAACTTGCCTTGGTCTGAAATCGAGCGCCGTCTGTGACGACTTCGCACGAAGAGGGTCCTGCGGGAAACGGGTCCTGGACCCCGGAGCCTTCCCCCAAGACCACGTCTTCATCATGAATACTTTGCTGGCGGTCCCGGGGAAAATTGATGGCCCCGGGAGGCCGAAAACGGCACAAAACCTCAGGACCCGTTTCCCTCAGGACCCCTTGCTTTCCTTCGTCGGCGATGGCGGCTTTCAGGCCAGAACTCTGACCTGCGGCGGCCGTTCGGGACACTCCGGGCACCTCCCCGAACGCTGTCGGCGAGGCGCAGCCGCTGGAAGGCATCCCGCGAAGCTGGAACACCGCCGAGAACCGACGGAAGCAGTAGGTCGGGCATGTCCTCCTGGAGTGGAGGTTTTGACGAAAAGCTAGACATATTCAAAACATGCTCAAAACCATGTTTAAAATATTCACACATAGTCCAAACATCGTCCCCATATTATTGCTATACTTTTTTTGGATCTGCCTCCTGTAAAGGGACAGGCCCGACTTCACGGAAACACCCGCAAACCTCGAACCTCGACCCCCCTCCGTGTCGGGGACTCCGAAGGGTGTGGTTTGCAAAGGGTGCGGTTTGCAATCGGTACCCTGGGGGGCACCCTGGGGAGCGGGCGGGGACCTCGACGGAGCTCTCCGCCGCACCCCGCGAAGAGGCCCGACGAGGACAGCGTGCCGTGCCCCCCCAGGCCCCAACGCCGCCGCCTGCAGACCATACCCCGGCGTAACCACACCCTTTGCAGTCGCCGACCGTGGCGACTCGCCTCCCCCCCCGTCCCCGGAAGCTGGCCGGCGCTCCAACAGGCCCGGCGCGCCCCCCGCGCAGGGGCCGCTCCAAAGGCGGCGCCCTCGCTCAGCCCATGCGCGCCGCCCCCCCGCCGGCGTTGGCGGCCTGGCGGGCTCCGGGGCGCGGAGGGGGGCAGCGGAGGGCGCAGGCCACGGAGGAGACGAGTCCTGAAGCCCAGGCCCCCTGGAGCCATGACACAAATCACGACGGGAGGTTTTTCGCCATTTTCGGCCTCTATAGGGCCCTCACCGGGCCTCGGGACCGGGAAAAAACGACTCCGGATGGAGAGCCAGTCCTGGCGAGTAGGTCCAGACCTCTGGGGGTGGGGTCGCGTCATGAAGAGATCATGACGTCGGAGGTCTGGGAAGGGTGCACGCCACGAAGGTCAGCTCGGGCTTGTCCCCCTAAAGGGGGGTATGGGGCGACAAATGTCAAACAAAAAACTCCAAAACTGCCCCCAGATGCTCAGAAATACTCGAAATATCGTCCCCCGACTATTTTTGGACAATTCTTGAACAGTCCCACTGTAGAGGGACAGGACAGGCCCGACTTAACACGAAGGAGACGGGTCCTGATGGGAAAGGCTCCTGAGGTGGTCTCTTCCCCAGACCCACGACGTCGTGATTTTTTCATGGCGCGACCCCCAAGCGTCCAGACCCATTCCCCGAGACCGGTCTTTTATCCCGAGTCGTGTTCTGATGGCCCTGAGGGTCAGTAAGGGCCCCCAGAGGCCTAAAATGACGAAAAACCTTCCGTCGTGATTTTTCATGACTGCAGGGGGTCTGGGTCCGCCGTTTTTCTAAGAGTTCCCAGGGCTGGGGCCTTCCCAGGCCCGAGGAGGCTTCGACCCTCCCGCCCCGTGGCTGGGCTCCAGTCGTGGAGGCGTCCCTCCCGCTGCTGCTGCTCACTGAATGTGTCCTCCCGGTGCTGCCGCTGCCGCCCCTCGCTGCTTATGCTGCTGCTGGCCCTGCTGCTGGTGCTCCGCCATTTCATCCGCCGCCACGCAATTCCACCTCCGCTTTTGCTTGCACCTTATCTCCGCCTCCTCCTCTTCCTCCTCTTCCTCCTCTTCCTCCTCCTTCTCCGCGTACCTGAGGCTCCGGAGGCTCCGGAGACTCCGGTCTGACTGCAGCTACTGCCCCAACACACTGCCATGCTGGACAGTGGGCGTGCCATCTGCACGCGCATCGGAAAAAACGGGCAGCTCATCTGTTTACTCCACTACGCGACTGCGACCCTTTGTCATTAAAGAAGGACTGCTGTTTGGTTGTCTTGAATGGCGGGGAAACCCCTGAAACACAAATAACCTTTGCAGAGCCATGTAGATGTTGCACGTGCAGCGAGGAGGGGACTTCCAAATCATCGGGACATACAGCAGATAGCAATTTGGAACACGACGAGAGAAGGTGGGCGATGAGCAGTATGCCTCCACTACAATGCTGCATACCGCTGGAAAGTTTAGCAATTCCCACACTTTGCATAACCTTCCCATCATCAGCAAAGGCATTACCGCGCGCCCTCACAGTGCCCCTGGCGTCCTTGAAACGCACGCTCGCCTTCCATCCGAATAGCCCATCGATCGATGGATCGATAAGGCGTTTGGTTGACCAATCGACCGAAGCGGTCAGGCAAAAAGGCGAACGTCGCCTACTTGAAGTTGGCTGGTTATCACTGACAAACATCTTGACAACGTTGAATGGCTTGGCCTTCAAATCTGGATGGATACGGTCGCTCTGTTTGTGTTCCTCGGGCCCGATCTGCTGAGTAGGAGGGGGGGGGGCTGAACGACGAGTAGGATGGGGTCGAGGGGAACATGTTTCACCGGGGTCGAGGTGGTCTAGATGATCAGGCCAGACCTCCTTCCCCTTCCTCCTCTCTCCACTTCCGGCCCCATCACGCCTTCCACGCACCTCTCCCCCTCCCCATCGTCCGTCCCTTATCCTGCGTCCACGGATCCCTCCTTGTACCCCCGACTCATCTCCTCCCCCCACCCACCCATCACCACCCCTCTGCCCGTCCCGCCTGCACCTCCCCCGATGAGCCCGCCTGCCCCCGTCCCGTCTCCCGCGCCCTCGCCTCCCTCCCCCCCTCGGCTCCCCCGCCTCTCCCCGCCAGCCTCCCCGAACTTTTTGTTGCTCCGATGCTTCCCGGATCCCATGCCTCTGCATCCCTGTGCCATGCGCACCCTGATGGTCCGCTACCGAAAATTTCCGGTAGCGCTCCGCAGAGATCGGTCGCTACCGAAATACCGAAATGTAGCGCCCAATACCGGTATCAGAGCGTTCTGAAATCCGCTATTTCAACGCCCTCAAACGAAGATCCGGTCGCTACCGAAATTCGGGGTGCGTCGAAATCGCTACCGAAAATTTCCGGTACCAGACCATCTGGGCACTCCCGCCACGCCGGGGGGGGGGCGCGTCGCCCTCCCACGCCCGGCAGCCACGCCCGCCGAAACCCGCCCCCATCGACCCGCGCGGGCCCGTGAGAGCAGCCTGCCGCGGGCGGGGCGCGGGCGGCGATCGCCGCCGAACGCCCGGCGGGGGCTGCGCCCCGTCTCAAAGGAGCACCCCGTCGCCCTCGGAGGTCCGCGGCGACGACGACGACGACGACGACGACGAGGTCCGCGAGGCAGCTCGCAGCCCGATGGATGCCAAATCCGAGCCGGATCTTCGCCATCCCTGCGCCGGGCCGTGGGAGCGCGGGCGTCGTCCCACACCTCGCGGGGCGGACGTGTGGACTGGGCAATACTCCAACTGCCTGATCAATCGACCCCCCCGAAATAAACAGACCCCCCTCCAAATGCGAGCTAACATTCCGGAGCCCCCTCTTCGACGGGGCGCCATGGTAAACCGGAGCCCTGAAGCTCCAATCTACAGGAAACGCTCTAATAAACCGGACCCCCCAGTTACAAAAAAGGCGCCTTACAAACCGGACCCGGGGGACGATTAATAAGGGATTTGGAGTAGAGCTGCTGCTGTCCGCGCGAGGCCTCCAAGCGTTCCCCCCCAGCTCTCCCGCCAGGCCACCTCAGGCCCTGATGGCCGGAGGCCCTCCCGACGGAGCCAGGTTGGATGGGGTCGGAGGATCGCGCCGCATCGCCGACGGTCGATGCGTCGGCGCCGTCGGCGCGGAGAACATCGGACGCCACATCGAGCCGCACAACTGATGCCTCGTGGCTGCGGCGCCATGGGAGGAGCTGCGGGGTGCGGGAAGGGGCCTTTACCGTCGCTGAGACTGAAGCAGCGGGATCGTGACCCCCTGAAACCACTGAAGACTGCCGAGGACTAGCGGTATCCAATCGTTCCGCTGTGGGACAAAGCATCTTGCGATCTTGAGCCAAAACAGCAGAGGAGGAGGAGGAGGAGGAGGAGGAGGGGGAGGCGGGGGATGAGGAGGAGGAAGAGGAGGAGAGGAGGAGGAGGAGGAGGAGGGGGAGGAGGAGGAGGAGGAGGAGGGAGGAGGAGGAGGAGGAGAAGGAGGCGGGGGAGGAGGATGGGGAGGAGAATGAGGAGGAGGAGGAGGAGGAGGAGGAGGAGGAGAGGAAGAGGAGGAGAGGAGGAGGAGGAGGAGGGGGAGGAGGAGGAGGGGAGGAGGAGGAGGAGGAGAAGGAGGAGGGGGAGGAGGATGGGGAGGAGAATGAGGAGGAGGAGGAGGAGGAGGAGGAGGAGGAGGAGGACAGGAGGACCCCCCGATGCAGCAGCGCCTGCTCCATAGCCAGGTTCATGCCGTGCTCCTTGGTGCTCTTGATGGCGCCCATCTTCATGCCGACCTCTCGCGGGCGGGGCGGAGCGCGAGCTGCGGGCGTTGTCGGGCGTCGTCGGGCCGAGCTGCCGGCTACGCGCGGCGGGGGAGGAGGGGAGGCGAGGGAGGGGAGCGGCGGGAGGAGGGCCGTCACCAGAGGCCTCCCAGATGGGGTCCGAGTGGATGGGGTCGCCAGATCGCGCCGCATCGCCGATACATCGGCGGTGCATCGGCGAGTCATCGCCGACGTCGGCGACGCATCGGCGACGTCGGCGTGGAGAAAATCGGGCTCCGCATCGAGCCGTCTCGTCGATGAATCGGCGATACGGAACGATCCTCCGACCCCACCCCATCCAGGAGGCCTAGAGTCGCCCCCACCTCCCCGCGTTACGAAGCAACCCGCGACGGGTGCTGTTGGGTAGCTTTCGGCATCTGGGTGCCTTCACCTGGCCCTGGAACTGCGAACGAACCTCGAGATGAAACGCCGCCCCTGGGGAAGGGGTCCAGACCTTCAGGGATCCACGTTGTGAGAAACTCGCAGCGTCGGAATTCTTGGACTTCGGGCACGGGCGGGCGCCCGTCACGTGAGGGGGGGCCGTGGCCTGGCAAACGGCCCATGGCGGCTCCAACATCGAGACCTGCAAGGCATTTTGATGGGCAGACAGGGGGTGGAACAGCTCCGTGTGGAGCACCAGTGGATGTTCCACCTCCGAGCGGCCCTCGCTCTCCGACCATCCCCCACCTGACCCACGGCCTCTGCCGCACCAGTCGAACCTGGGCTCCAGACGGGGGGCCACCCCATGCCGGGCAGGCGAACATGCCGGCGCAGTGGTCCGCCGACTGAGGCGTGCACCACTCGACTAGACGCAAGAGCGACTCTAGGAAGGAGTGACCTTTGGTGAGTGGATTCTTGGGGACCGCGGGGGCACCGAGCACGAGCGCGCAAGACGCTGCCACCGCATCGCCTTCGGCGACCAGGGATCCCCGCTGGGCCCGCACCAAAGGCCACTCCGGCGAAAGGCCACTGTGCAGCCGCATCGGCGCAACGGTGGCCGCGAGGCGAGTGGCGCGCCGCCGCGGCCAGCCAGCTTTGCCGCGCGGCAGCGGCGCGCGCCGGCGGCCGCGAGGCCGCGTGGCGGGCGGCCCTGCGCGGCGCGCCCGCCTGCAGGCGCGGCCGGGCGATCGTGAATCCGCACCCTCATGGGCAGGCTGGGGCTATCGGGCCTCTATCGGCGATCAATTGGCGATTGGGGGTCGATGCAGCCCCCCTTAGGCCTATTCCCCCCCCATCGTTGCCCCTGACTCCCCCCCCCTCGGTCGTCTCCTCACCTTGCCGCTGGGCTCCCTCGCGCTGGTGAGGAGTGTACCAGAGCGACGTTATCCAGCGTACCCTCCCAGATCTCAGGCCTGCACCCTGGTGCCCTTCCCCCGCGACCTCCGCGGGAGGCCCCACCTGGGAGCCCCGGTGCCCGCATGTGGAGCGAAACCCCAGCGGGCGTGCGATGGGCCCCTCGGTGCGGTGCGTGACTGCAGCGCTGCCACAGCCGGGGCCCGCGAAATGCTTGGCGGAAGAGAGAGAGAGAGAGGGGGGTAAGGAGGGAGGGAGGGACGGAGGGAGGGATGCAGGAGGGGAGGGAGGAGAGAGAGAGAGAGAGAGAGAGATAGAAAAGGAAGGAGGGAGGGAGGGAGGCGAGAGGGAGAAGCAGAAAGAGGAGGAGGACGAGGAGGAGAAGGAGGGGTCGGGGCTGCGGACGGGTGAGAGATGCGTGATGACTTGTCGGCGATGACTGGGCTTCTACGGTGGGGGGGGAGAGGCCATGTCGGATGACCTAACCTGCTCCCTGTGGGCAGCCCCAGGCATGCCCGCGCGCACTACTACACCTTAGGCGATGCTTAAGAAAACTTACGTTTTCGGCCAGAGTCTCGATTATTCTTAAGGTTTCAACGTAAATCCCAAGAGTTTAATTGGAATGTTGGGTTATTACTCAAGTTCTGAGACAATGAATTTCTTAACCCATGATTTCTTAAGCATTTCGCGGGGTGTATGCCTCCTTCGGCCTTCGGACCTGCGCGGCCGACAGGGTCAGGTTAAACCCAGGGGGTGGGGCGGGCGGGCCCGAGAACCCGGGCTATCGGCAGACCTCCTCCTCCTCCTCCTCCTCCTCCTCCTCCTCCTGCACGCACTCCTTCACTTCAACCTCCTCGTCCACCAGCTCCTCCTCCTCCTCCTCCTCCTCCTCCTCCTCCTCCTCCTCCTCCTCCTCTTCCTCTTCCTCCTCCTCCTCCTACCCTACGTCAACAGAGACAGGCTCTGGGAGAAGGTTCAGGAGGGAGGGCAGGAGGGGGTTTTGAAAAGAATGATGCGGGGGGGGGGGGAAGAGGAGGCGCATGAGGAAGGCGCGAGGGGGAAGAGGAGGGGAAGGTGAGAACGAGGCAAGGGATGGGACGAGGGAGCGGCTTGGAACAGACGATGGATGGGCTGGGAGGTACGGGTTGGGGATGGGAGGACGGGAACGGACGGAGCCGGCGGGCGGGCTGGGCAGATGGGGAGGGGAACGACGGGGCGTAGCAGAGGGGAAGAGGGGCGGGTAGGCTGTCAGGGGGGGGAAGGGGGAGGGAAGCGTGGACAGGGGAAAGGGAGGAGGGGGATGTGACGCAGGGGAGTGGAGGCACAGCGAGAGGAGGGAGGCCGTGGATACCGGGAAGACTGGGGGGGAGGCGGAGGAGGGGAGGGGATGGGGAGAGGGACAGGATGGCACGCTGGGTGCGCTTGCGCCTTATCTGACATCGATTCCCTGCCTCCCGTCCCTTCCCATTGCGCTGATCGTGTTCTCTATCCGCGGCCGCGTGTCATAGCCGACCTGCAGCTCTAAGTAAAAAGAGCACCTCGTGCGATGCGCAATCGGCAAAAGTGGAGCTGCGTGAACATGAGGAGGAGGAGGAGGAGGAGGAGGAGGAGGAGGAGGAGGAGGAGGAGGAGGGGAGAGAGGGAAAGGACGAGGACGAACAGCAGCAGCAGCAGCAGCAGCAGGAACTGGAGTGGAAGCAGCGGGAGGAACAGGATGACAAGGGGAACGCGGAGGACGGGAAACGAGGGGGCGACAACGATGAGGAACAATTCGGCTTCAGACAAATGGTCCGCCCTGGGGCGAGAGCGACATTCTGAACGACGAGAGCAAAGCGCCGATCCGAAAATGAAGCCCACGCTGTAGCGGGAGCGCCATGTTGAAGCATCGAGAACAACCGGATCGCGCAAACAACATAAGACAACAACTCGTCAAATCCTGCATGCGTGCAAAATACAACGGCAAAAGGGCCGAACATCTCCCAGACAGAGTCACGGAAGAGAGAGGATAACAGCACTCCTGCTGTTCGGGGAAAGAGGGGGGGGGGGGGGGGGAAAGTGGGAGGCGAGGGGAGTGAAGGGAAGGGGCGGTAGGGAGGGGGAGGAGGGAAGGGAAGGGAGAGAGGGGAGAGGATGGGAGCGCGGGGAGGGAGGGGAGGGAGGGGGAGAGGAGGGGAGAGGAGGGGAGAGGACGGGAGCGAGGGGAGGAAGGGGAGGGGAGGGGAGGAGGTAGCTCGTGCACCCGCGCCGCGTGGAGCGACCGCCGGCAGCAGAGGCACGCGACAGCAGGGACGTGTCAGGACGATGCCCAGACTGCTCGGCACCCGCCACGGCGGAACGCCCCCCGGCCAACCACGGTGCGACCCCCTGCTCCCCACCCCTCTGGGGCACTGTCCTCTCGGTGGTGCGAGGAGGAGGAGGAGGAGGAGGAGGAGGAGGAGGAGGAGGAGGAGGAGGAGGAGGAGGAGGAGAAGAAGGCAGCTGGGGCCCCGAGGGATGGGGTCCTGCGGGCGAGGTGCCTCAGACAGCGCAAGAACCCACCTTTGAACCGCTCCCCCTGTCCTCAGAGGGCCCCATCTCCACCAGGACCCCCTCCTCGAGCCACCGAACTTCCCCCCCCCCCGCTGCAGCGGAAACACTCGTCCTCCGGTGGTGCCAGGAGGGGCCTCCGCCGGCGGCAGCGGCGGGCGCCCGAGAGCGCCGGCGCCGCAGCGCGGGCGCGGACTGGGACGGCCCTGCCCTGCTCGCCATGCTTGCTGCGCCCCCCTTGCCCTGCCTCTCCCCGCCCGCCGTCCTGCGTCTCCCCCTGCTCGCTCTTTCCCCCTCCCGCCCCCCCTCCTCCCCCCCTGCCGCCCCTCCTCCGCCCTGCTTCCTGCTTGCACCCCCCCCCGAGTCCTGCTTCTCCCCCCTGCTCGCCCGCCCCCCTCTCCCCCCCTCCGCCCCCCTCTCCGGCCCCGAGCCCGTGCGAGAGGCACACGGCGCCCACCTCTTCCAGCGATGGCACCTGCCGCCGGTGAGAGAGAGAGAGAGAGAGCGCTCGCCGAGATGAGCATTCGCTGGTTGAGCAGGCTGCCTGCGACGTGAAGGTGGACAGAAGACGCATACGATTGAACGAACTTCCTGCAAGAACTCTTGATGCACCCTTTCTGTCGATCTTCGAGGGCACTGAGGTGCCCTAGATCTTCTCGGGGTCCCTGGGGCCACCCGGGGAGAAGGAATTTTCGTGGGGCTCCTGCTGGCAGGCCGACTTCGTATGTGATGTGCCTACTGTACGCGGCATCAGTGATGAGTGCTGGGTTTGCTCTGGCTCCCCTCCTCCTCCTCCTCCTCCTCCTCCTCCTCCTCCTCCTCCTCCTCCTCATCCGCCGTCGGCGCTCCGCGCCCACCCCGCCCGCCTCCATGTCCTCGTCCACGGCGCGCTGGTACTCCCGCTCCTTCAGGCGAGCAGCAAGCTGCGCCCGTGCCTCTCGGGTCGGGCGAAAGGGGGGGATAGCAAAGGGGGGGGTTGAGAATCAGCTCACGTAGCTGATTTTCCCGGCGCCTCCCGGCGCCGGAGGCGGCTATGTATCGAGGAATGGACCCCTCGGTGAGGCCGAAACCAGCTGCATGCAGCAAATTTCGTACCCCCCCCTTTCCCAATCCCCCCCTTTCGCCCGACCCGAGCCTCCAGAGCCTCCGTGTCCATCTCCACGGGCTGGCCCTGCTTGATCCGCAGGGAGTGGAACCAGCAGGTGGCCTGCATGTCGGTGTTGTAGATGTAGACGAACCCGAAGCCGTTGCACGAGGCATCCCTGAAGGGCACGGTCTGTATGGCCGGGGCGTACCCTTTGCCACGCGAGTCCACCTGGCCGACGACTATCTTCTCGGCCCAGTCAATTTTCAGCAGAACCTTGCTCCACTTGTCGCTCTGCAGCTTGCCGTCGTTGCTGATGCGCACGAGGTTGCCGCTTCCGCCCGAGAGCTGCATGCCGCCCTTGACCAAGAACTGCACGCCGATCCTGCTGTCTTGCAGCGCGCCCTCCAGCGCGAGCTCGGTGAAGACCACGCACGCGTTGGGCACGTCCACCTTGCCGTTCATGGTGAACTCGAACTCCACCTCCGTGGGCCGTGCCAGGGGCGAGAAGGACGTCCAGATGCCCGTGCAGGGGACGTTGCTCACGCCCCCCACCAGCTCCAGGCACGGCTTCGCGTCCTTCGGGTTCGCGGGATACCTGAAGGGGCCCAGGCATACACACACACCACACACATGGATACACACAAATCCCAGAATCGCCACTATGGTTCCAATATGTTCTGGGTTATCGTCCTCCTCCTCATTCCCATAGTTTCCCATATTCTCCTGGGAATCGATGCTTCATTGTGTCTGTGCGTGTGTGTGTGTGTGTGTGTGTGCGTGTGTGTGTGTGTGCGTGCGTGCGTGCGTGCGTGCGTGCGTGCGTGCGTGCGTGCGTGCGTGCGTGCGTGTGTGTGTGTGTGTGTGTGGGTGTGTGTGTGTGTTTCTTCCCCTCCCGAAAAACCTCACCGTCTGCATGTGAATCAGGCCTTCTCTTATGGGCTTGCCCTTCTCGTCCTGCGTGCACGGCCCCCGCATCCACCTCTGCTCCCAGTCCTGCGGGGAAATGCTCGGGAGGGATCAGCTCAGGGTTAGGTCGGGCATGTCTTCCTACAGGCGGGTTTTCGTAAAAAAAAAAAAGCATAGTCAAACACATATTCACACATAGTCAAGAGAGCACGTACAATCGTCACCTGGCTATTTGTGGACCATTCTCGAACATTCCTCCTGTAGAGGGACATGCCCGACTGAAGATTAGCTCACGGGGAACATCGACTTGGACTCGGCCGCACATCGCCAGCAAGTCAGCAGCATGCCCCCAAAAAGAGAAGCCGCACGCTCATGGGGCAATCATTGGAACGATTGGGGGCTGACGCGTTCCCCCTCTGCGTCTGTCCCCTGCGCCATCTTTAACGTTTGGTTGTGCATGTCCCCCTACAGGCGGACTTGGGACGGAAAATTTGAAATAGCCGAACAATGTTGAAGCAAATGGTAAACATTAAAAGAAAAATCGTCCCCAGGCTATTTTTTACAATTTTTGAATACTCCCCCTGTCGAGGGACAGGCCCGACTTAACGTTAACGCTGCCCTTGAAATCCTCGCCGAACGCCTCGGCGAACTCGAACTCCGCCGTGTTGACGGGCACCTCCAGCGCCTCCGACGCGCCCTCGCCTCGGCGGCTCAACGATGGGGCCCAGGAGGACGAGGGGCCTCGAAACATAGTAACCCCAACGTGGGACCCACTCCAATCCTGCAGAGGCCTCCCGAATTCGGTCCGAGCAGATGGGCATAGAGGATCGAGCCGCATCGGCGACGTCGGCGAGGCATCGGCGACGTCGGCGTGGAGCAGATCGGGCTCCACATAGAGACGCATCGCCGATGCACCGGCGACGCGGCGCGACCCTCCGACCCCGCCTGCTCTGACCCAAGCTGGGAGGCCTATGGTCGGGAGCTGCTGCTCAGCGTGTCGCCACGGCGGCCACAGCGACACGCTGTGCCCTGCGAGCGGGAAACGTGTCGCTCTGCTCCGCGGGGCGGGGAGCTAGGACCAGCTCGGGGCGCTGACGCTTGGAGACCAGGAAGTGGATAGCGTCTTGCGCCGCAGCGTGGGCCAAACCCGGCGGAGCGACACGGTATCCAACAGCTCCCGACCCATACATCTGCGATGCTCTGTGTTTTCACTACGACGTCCCCGGAAGTCCCGACAGCAAATTCTTCATCCCGAGTCGTGTTTTGATGGTCAAGAGGCCTGGCGAGTGCCCCCAAAAGCCGGAAAAGGCAAAGAAACCTCCATTGTTTTTTTCCCAACCGCCTGGTGGTGTTGGGTCCTCGTTTTGAAGAGACGGTCCCCCCGTTTCTCCTCTCCTCTCCTCTCCTCCCCTCCTCCCTCCTCCCCCTCCCCCTGCGTTTCACCCACCCCGTACAACGTTTCATGGCCCCATAGGGAGCTCCACCGAAGGCCCAAGTGGCAGGGTTCGCATGGCGGCCCCGCGTTTTGGCGCACCCCTCACACGGTTCGTGGCCCCATAGGGAGCTCCACCGAAGGCCCCAGTGGCCGGGTTCGCATGGCGGCCCCGCCCCATTTTGGCGCACCCCTCACACGTTTCTTGGCCCCATCAAGAGCTCCACCGAAGGCCCCAGTGGCCGGGTTCGCATGGCGGCCCCGCCCCATTTTGGCGCACCACTCACACGGTTCGTGGCCCCATAGGGAGCTCCACCGAAGGCCCCAGATTCAGGGTTCGCATGGCGGCTCCGCCCCATTTGCACGCACCCCTCACACGGCTCGTGGCCCCATAGGGAGCTCCACCGAAGGCCCCAGTGGCCGGGTTCGCATGGCGGCCCTGCGCCATTTTCGCGCACCCCTCACATGGTTCGTGGCCCCATAGGGCGCTCCACCAAAGGCCCCAATGGCAGGGTTCGCATGGCGGCCCCGCTTCATTTTGACCCCATGTCGTGGCCCCATAGGAAGCTCCACCGAAGGCCCCAGTGGCCGGGTTCGCATGGCGGCCCCGCCCCATTTTGGCGCACCCCTCACACGGTTATTGGCCCCATCAGGAGCTCCACCGAAGGCCCCAGTGGCAGGGTTCGCATGGCTCACACGGTTCGTGGCCCCATAGGGAGCTCCTCCGAAAGCTTCAGTGGCAGGGTTCGCATGGCAGCCCAGCCCCATTTTGGCACACCCCTCACACGGTTCGTGGCCCCATAGGGAGCTCCACCGAAGGCCCCAGTGGCGGGGTTCGCATGGCGGCCCTGCGCCATTTTCGCGCACCCCTCACATGGTTCGTGGCCCCATAGGGAGCTCCACCGAAGGCCCCAGTGGCAGGGTTCGCATGGCGGCCCTGCGCCATTTTCGCGCACCCCTCACACGGTTCGTGGCCCCATTGGAAATTCCCCTTACTTCGTCCCACCTGATCTGCAGCTCTCACACTTGCGTATGGTTGGGTCCTTCGTCAGGATAAATTTGTTTGTGTCCGGGCCCTTTCCGATCCTTGGACCTTAGAATCCCGTCTCTCAGGGCCCCCATCTTTTGGAGGCGTTCTCAAGGGGATGGGAGGAGGGGGGAAGGCCTCTTCTCTTAGAAGCGGGCTGCTTCATTGAAGGCGCGGGCCTTACACCTACAGAAAAGGCCCGCACCCTGTGAGGGGCAGGGGTGCTTCAAAGAAGCCCTCCCCCCTCCCCCATACCGCCCCTGCGCGTGGCCGATTACGCCCACCCGTGCAGTAAGGATGCGCGGTGAGGATACTTCTGCTCTGGAAGGCATGCCGACACTTTGGGAGCGGGGCGCGGCCAGCGAAAGCGGACAGAGATGGGCCGAACGGGAAGGATGCAAGGGTACTCCGAGTTTCTTAGCGAGCGTCGGGGGGGCGTCACTACCGCCGACAGCTCCACATCGACCCCCGTCGCGGGCAGCCACCGCGCGCCGAAGGCGCTCCGACCACCGTCGCGGCGCGACGGCGAGGCGAGGTTGACCCCCGTCGGGGGGGTACCCCCCCACGCTTATTGAGAGACCCAAAGAATCCTTGGGAAGGTCGCTCATCCTTCCTCTGCGGGCTGGCTGCAGCGACCGCACGCCGCGGCCGACGCGGGCCGCCCGCGCGGCACGCTGCAGGGGAGACTTAAGGCGCCGACGCGCGGTGCCCTACGTGGGCCGCCTGCGCGCCGATGTCGGCGCAGAGGACCCCCGTGAGCATGCCCCCCCGACCAAGACCTCGCCCGCAGGCCGTGAGGCTGGAGGCGCGGGGGAGGGTCTGAGATGGACTGCTCCCGAAAAAGTCACCCTAACTATGCCGTTTGACTCAAGACTGGCGTTGGCAGAACTGGGTCTGGTGGGGCCTGGTTTTGTGATTTGTACTGGGGGACGCCCACCCCCCCGCCCCGTTCCACTGAGCGGAACTGCCGTCACCCGGAAAACACGAGCTACGGCAGACCTGGTTTAGTGATTCTGGCAAATTTAAAGGCTCCGGGCCCTACTACTAACGGGATCCCCTTACCTGGGGTCCTGGCTATACCCGATCAGGATGCCCCCAAGACACCACCCCAAAAAGCCTCCACCTCGCCTTCATCGACATCATCACTATCACCATCACCACCCACCGTCAGCACAGCATCATCACGTCACCCTGGACGCCCTCTCAGCCCGCAGGAAACAATGCAGTCAGGGGGTCGGCGGGCCTGTGTAATCACCCTTATCATGCGGGTTGAAGACCCCAGGACGGCCGAAGAGGACCCCTCTCATAATGAGAAGAAGGCAGAACTGCATAAACATGGTTAAACTTTTGGGGCTCCGCGCGGATTTCTTGGATCTGCGCTGGCCCCACTCCCTGGCGCACGGAGCGGGCCGGGGGCGGCGCCGGAGGCGCCGCCGGGGGGCCCCAGGCGCCGATCCAAGAAATCCGCGCGGAGCGCCAACAGTTTAGGTTCATGCCGTCTTCTTCGAGGTGTGCGGGTTGACCGTAGGGCCCCGTCCCTCCGGGCCCCCCCTCTTCGAGCCGCCGCTCGCCGCCCGACGCCGGGCCCTCCGGGGCCGCCGCCGGCGCCGCGCAGAGGCCGCGCAGCGCGGCGCGGAGACCACGGGGCGTCGTGGCGGCCTCCTGCGGCCCCGGCGGGGGCGGCAGCGACGCGGGGTCGAGCACCATCGCGGCCATGTCCTGACTGCAGTCGACCCGTGGTGCAAGGACGCACGAGAAGAGGATGCAAGGGCCTTGGAGAGCCGCTTCGGAGCTTCTCGAGCGGGGCGAAGGCCCGCGCGGGTGGCCAAGGGTGGGCCAAAGGGGCAGGGATGCAAGGGTACCCTTGGCAAGGTGTCCCATCCTCATTGCACCCACTGAGGATTAGGTCGGGCATGTCCCCCTACAGGCGGATTGTGGACGAAAAATGAAAAAGAGTCAAAAATATACAGAAAATGCTGGAAAATAGTCAGAACATCGTCCCCTGACTTTTTTTTGTAAACTATTTTTGAATATTCCTCCTGTAGAGGGACAGCCCGACTCAACACTATGCGGGTCGGCTGTACTCACCGAGGAGCTCCAGCCTCCCCTGCTTGGTGCCTCCCCTCTGTCTTGACAGCGAGCGATGTGCTTTGTCGCTCTGCGTGCCCTGGGATCGGCACCATCGCGGCCACGTCCTGACTACCCCGAACTTCGCAACACTCATGCTCGATTTCCTGTATCAAGCGCGGGTGGTGTAATTTACACAGCGCGCATGTTTGGGCACCAATATCATATTCGCCCGCGTCGGGCCCCGAAGAATACTTACCGCCGGCCCTCGCGAGATGGCGGCTCAATGTTTGCCGGCGCCTGTGAAGACATATCGCTCGCAAAATTAAAAATCATTGTGATGTGCATCACGCAGATGTTCGTCAATTCTGCAGCAACCGCGCTCACGCATCACCGCATTCACCGCATATGGCAGAACCGTTCTCATCCTTTCACCATCATTATCATGATCGTGTGATCGTCTTCACCATCAACATCGTCATCACCATCATCATTATCATATTCATTGTATTCGCACTTCTCATTGGCGACCCTGAGATGGTACATGATTTGCGCCGGCGTTTGGGCGACGTATTTTTCGCCGGCGTGAAGATTAGGCCCTGGGACACTTTTCGCTGGCGTGGCCCCCCTCCACGCTTAATAAGGGAAATCGAATCGACGAGCAGCTTTGGACCCCCCCCAGACCAGCCACGAGATGGCGTCCTTGTGCCCAGAACCAACTGGGACCCTCCCCCCAAGACAGTTCAAATCAGACACTCCCCCAAATCAAACCATCCCCCGTTTTTTTTGTGATCCGGGGCAACCACCGAGGAGCTCCAACCTCCCCTACTCGGTACCCCCTCTTGCTTCGAAGGAGAACGATGTGCTCCGTTGGATTGCGTGTCCTCGGAGCGGGCCCAAACTTTCTTCGGCGGAAGAACTTGGGTTTGGGTGGTCTCTCGGCCGAGGGAGCGGGCTCAGATATTCCAACCGAAGGTCCGCGCGGATGCCTCTGTTTATGCTGTGTTTCGCCCCTCGGGTGTCGTCGAAGCCAGGGACGCGCGGGGGCAGCTGCTTCTCCGCCTGCGCCTTCGACGCCTGCTTGGAGTCCCGAAACGGTGCGGTGCCAGAGCGTGCGGTGACCTCGAAATCCCCCAAGACCTCACCGCACGGTCCGTTTACGCACGGTTTTGGGACCTCGGATGCCCCAGTCGTCCGAGACGTCCTCGGAAAACGACCCGAGTCCCAAAACCGTGCGGTGACCCCGAATCCCGACCGACTCACCGCATGGTGTGGTCACCACCCCGTTTGGGGGTCCCCCGAGCCTGGGCCAGAACCACCACGTGGAAGCCGGGGGCCGCGGGCCCCAGCCCCAGGGACCCGGCCACCTCGTCCAGCTTCTCTCGGCGGCGAGCGAGGGGGGGGGGGGGGGGGGGCAAGTGGGAAGGAGAAGGCCTTCTCAGAGGGCGGCGGGACTTCCCGGGAGCCCTGGCGCCCTCGAGGAAGTGGTCTCTCCGTCGTCGGGGGAGGCGCAGAAGGCGTCCCAAAGACCCCAGGGACTTCCGGGCCTTCTGCGAAGGCCCACCCCTTCTCATAGGGGGGCAACGATAGGGGGAGGGGCACGTCGACCTGGAATCGGCGATGCATCGCCGACAGATCGGCGATGGGTCCCCGATCGTGAATCCGCACCTCTGCCTGGGCGTGTTGGGGCCGATGCATCCCCCCCCCCATGCCCAGTCCCCCCTATCGTTATGTCGGGCCTGTCCCCCTACAGGAGGATTTTCGACGAAAAATTTTAAAAAAGTACCCCCAAAATACACCAGAAGGGTCAAACAATCTTCCAAGATATAGTCCCCAGACTATGTTTGGATTCTGTTTTGAATGATGTTAGGATCTTCTTTTATTCTTCGCCGAACATCCCCCTGTAGAGGGGACAGGCCCGACTCAACCCCTGATCCCACCTCCCCCCCCGTGCTCGCCGCCGCCTCTCTCGGAGGAGGGCCCGTGCGGACAGCGGCGGCTTCCCCGCCCGACCCAAGAAGCCGCCGCAGCTCCGCCCCCGGGGCCCCACCCCTTCTCCCTGGGGGCCCCCCGTGGTTGGACGACAGGGCAGCTTTTAATGCATAGGATTTTAAAGCCATAGGATTTGGAATGCATGATCTATGCATGGATAAATCTATGCATGAACTCATCGTTGTTTTTAATAAACCTATGGAAAATCTATGGATAAATCTATCTCTATCTATGGATAAATCTATGCATGAACTCATGTTGAAGACATGATCCGCACGCGGAGCATGTATAAAAAACGGCACTGTACCATGTGGGACCTGCTCCAGAACAAGAACATA